ACTGACACAGTGCTAACTGATGGGCTGACCGAGCTAGTAGAGAAAATCTGGCGAGATGAGTCGGCGGGCACAGATAACCCACTAGAGGAGACGCCTTCACCCGATGACAGAAGAGCCGAGGAGCTCACGAGCCAATCAATCAGCTGCAACGGCAACCGGGTAACTGTCCGAATCCCATGGGTCAATGACAGCGGTAAGCCACGTGTCAGGTCCAACAGAGCTCAGGCTGAGCAGCGGCTCCGCAGTCTACAACGCTCGCTACAGTCACGGCCAGCCGTGAAGCAGCAGTACTCTGACGTTATGCAGAAACACATTGCCAAGGGTTACGTGAGACGCGTGGACCCGGATGAGATAGCCAAAGACGGCAACGACCAGTGGTACCTACCCCATTTCCCGGTAGTACGCTCAGATAAATCCACGTCAAAAGTGAGAATAGTATTTGACGGTGCAGCCCGCTGGGATGGACACTCCATCAACGATGAGATGTTTACAGGTCCTGCACTTCAAAACGACATGACCAGTGTGTTGATCCGATTCTCACTGGAACCAGTTGCGCTTGTTGGTGATGTGTCGGAGATGTTCCTCCAAGTCAAACTGGCGGAACGTGACCAGCGCTATCATCGCTTTCTGTGGTATGATGACAATGGCCAAGTGCAGGTGTATCAGTTCACCCGTGTGCTCTTCGGCGCTAAGGCGTCACCGTATCTGGCAGGACGAGCGGTGAAAGAGGTCATCAAGCACCACGGTGATGAGTACGACTCTGACGTCGTGCAGTGCCTAAGCAAAGACCTCTACGTTGACGACATGCTGTCATCACTACCATCCACACAGCGTGCCATCCAGGCCAGAGAGCAAACGCAGCAGCTACTTGCCAAGGGCGGTTTTCACATGCGAAAATGGCTGTCGAACAAAGCTGAAGTGATGAACACCATACCAGAGGAAGATAGGTCACCTGATGTCGTCCGAGATGTGGACAGTGACACCAGCCTCCCAACTGTCAAGACTCTCGGCGTCAGTTGGAACGCCGAGAAGGATGCCTTCACCTTCCAGCATCAAATGAAGGACATCACGACATTCACCCGACGCTCTGTGTTGCGCGGCCTGGCCTCCATATTCGATCCGCGTGGCCTGATCTCGCCATACGTCATCACGGCTAAGGTACTCCTGCAGGATGCCTGGTTGCTGGGACAGGGATGGGACGACCTGCTGCCAAAGGAACAAGTCGTCAAGTGGCAGGGTTGGTTCCAAGGCCTCCCAGACCTGAGTAACCTGGAGATCAGCCGCTGTTTCAAGGATCCACAACAGCCATCCGAAGACGCCAGTCTTTCCGTGCACTGCTTCTCCGACGCCTCAGATCGGGCGATAGCAGCCGCTGTGTATGTCAGAGCCAGCTACCCAGACGGTACCACCCGAATAACGCTAGCGATGTCGAAAGCGAAGCCGGCACCAGTGAGGCGACAGACGATCCCGCAGCTTGAACTGAGAGCAGCTGTGCTTGGCGTTCGCGTTAGTCATCTCGTCGCTGAATCCATCGGTATCCCAGTGTCAGCTCACACATTTTGGACGGACTCGATGAACGTCTTGGGCTGGGTCCAAAGCCACAGCCGGCGCTACAAAGTGGACATTGGCAACCGAATCTCTGAGCTCCAGACCTCAACGAGAGCACACCAGTGGCGACATGTTCCCGGAAAGAACAACCCTGCAGACAAAGGTACTCGTGGTTTGTCTGCTGCATTACTGTGCCGTGACACAGTGTGGTGGTCCGGTCCACAGTTTCTTCGCCAGCAGCCAGATGAGTGGCCTCAGATGAAGGAAGTCAGCACATCCTCGCTGCCTGGTCAGCTCAAGACGGCGCTAGTTCCAGTCGTCCCTCCACCCTCCGAGATCCTGGGTCGCTTTAGCACATGGTCGCGACTGGTACGCGTGACAGCATGGTGCAAGCGATTTGTGGCAAACTGTCGGCAGGCAGTCAGTGACAGCAAGTCCACGAAGGGGGATGCCGCATCGGACAGCAAGTCCAGCACGCCAGTGAGAGTGCCAGTACAGCTTGGCGGCACCCGCTCCATCAGTGTTCCAGTTCTCAGCACTGACGAAGTATCAGTAGCAGAGCGGCACTGGATTGCAACTGCCCAGAAGGATTGCCATGGTACAGCATACCATCGTCTACAGTCTAGGCAACCGATGTTAAAATCGGACCCTCTGGCACCTCTCTGTCCCCAGTTCGATAGTGCAACAGAGTCACCCCTGATGACGGTAGGAGGTCGATTGCAAGCTACAAAGAACATGCCAAGTGGCGTACGCCACCCAGTCATCCTACCAGCAAAGCACCGAGTAACCCAGCTGATAATCGAACAGGAAGATCATCGGTGCTTCCATGCAGTTGGGCCACAGCATCTTCTGGCCAATCTGCGACAACGCTACTGGATTGTTCACGGAACATCAACAGTCAAGGCCGTTCGAAGCAACTGCGTCACTTGCCGTAAGAACCGTGCGGAGCCAGCGTCCCAGATGATGGGCCAGATTCCAGACTTCCGAGTTGCAGGCTCGTTGAAACCGTTCAGCCGTACAGGAGTTGATTACGCGGGTCCCTTCCTGACCAAGCAGGGCCGAGGTAAGACGCAGGCTAAGCGGTACCTGTGCCTGTTCACTTGCCTTGAGACTCGTGCCTGTCACCTAGAGGTATCCTATGGCCTCTCCACCGAGTCATTCCTGTTAGCATTTGAGAGATTCACAAAGCGCCGTGGTGTCCCGCTTGAAATGGTCAGCGACAACGGGACCAACTTCACTGCCGCGGAGCGAGAACTCCGTGAGGCCGTCCGGGCCATGGACAAGGAGAAGATCGAGAAGCGACTGGTCAGTGATGGCGTGCGATGGCGCTTCAACCCACCTAGAGCACCACATTTCGGCGGCGTATTCGAATCCCTCATCAAGACGGCTAAGCGCGGACTCACAGCAGTACTTGGGAAAGCGGACGTCACAGATGAAGAGTTAGTGACTGCCATGTGCCAGGTTGAGGGCATGATGAACTCGCGCCCGCTGACAGTTGTAAGTGCCGATGCAGCTGATTTGCAGCCTCTAACACCAGCACATTTCCTCGTCGGACGACTCGACCCACCAATGGCTCTGGAAGTGAAAGCAGACGAGCACCCCAGCAGAGACCCACGCAAACGTTGGTTGTATGTTCAGCGGCTTGTAGCAGACGTGTGGAACAGGTGGCGAGATGAGTATGTTCCCTTGTTGAATGTCCGTCGTAAGTGGCAACGTCAAGGTCGCAATGTAGCCGTAGGTGACATCATGCTGTGTCTTACATCAAACACTCCCCGTGGAACATGGCCCATGGGTAGAGTCACAGCAGTGCATCCTGGTGCAGACAAGCTCGTCCGAGTAGTGGATATTAAGATCGGCGACAAGATCTACCGACGGTCTATCCACCATCTAGTACCTATTCTGGACACCGAGTAGTTTGTGCCTTGTGTATCTGAAGTGCTACAGGCAGCCCTGTGACAGCACTCTCTCTCTCTCTCTCTCTCTCTCTCAACCTATGAAGTTTTTCTTTCATCATACAGTACCGTAGTAGTACTCACTCGTCACAGTTTGTTTGCTGACCCTGTGCTCGTGAGTGAAGGGGGATATGTTCTGGAGTATTCCAAGCTTGTGGTGAATCTTGCATGACCTTTCATTGTACTCAGGTTTCATTTCTTTTATTGTAGTGCATGCTGCTGGCGCCTGATGTATTGACTATTGCTACCGCAGGCCAGTCTCAACCTTTGCATTGTCTGAGATTCAAGTAGCGTATCGTTTGATGCATGTGCTGTCTCCATGCTATCTAGTCGTAATATATTCACTCGTCTTTGCATTTGTGCACAGTCCTGTGGATACTCGCAGGCTGCGGTTGCGCTCTCGCTTTGGTCATTCTAGAATGTATACTTCCATGCCTTTGAAGTTTTTTAGTTGTTAGTTTTGAGCTGTAGGAAGCAGTTTACAGTTTTTGTTCTTGCAGTTTTATCTCAGAGGAGAAAGTTCTTGGTCTCATACTGTTACGAGTTGCTGTTGTATCTGGTTGAACGCATGCCGGGGCAACAGAGGGCAGCATGAGTAGCCAATACTCCTCTGTCACGCGTACATTTCCTTTCTTTCCGCCTCTGACACGATAACACTCCTCTGTCAAGCGTACATTTCTTCTTTTCTTTCTTTCTGCCTCTGACATGCTCTCCACCTCTGTCACGTTAACACACCTCTGACATGTTAACCCGCCTCTGTCATGCATCTCTCTCATTTTCGCTTTCTGCATTTTTGTTTTGTTTCGGCCTTTGTTGCCACGTCACAAACAAATTTCATACACGCAGCGCTGCAGCGCTCTCGCCTGTACATATGTATCATATTATTATATTTTTGCCTTTCCGCCTTGTACATGCTGCGATTCCTTTCTCTTCTCTTTCTTTTTTCTTGTTTATCGTGCTTCGCTCCTCCCGACCTCACCACTGGCGGGGGAGTACTGTAGCGACCTGACTCACTGAGTATTACGTCATTCCACAAACGCATGCGCAAGAAATAAAATCATTCTCTTTGTTCACAACTTCTTCGTTGTCCGGTTGGCCAAAGTAGCCGTCGTCTACGGCCCGACGTAAAACCCTAAACTTTATTCTTGTCGTGCAGCTGGGAGCATATTCAGGGATGGAGGTGTTTGCAAGTGGAAAAAAAACACTGCATTGGGGCTGGAGAGTGTTGAGGAATTGTGACGTGTATCAGTTGTGGCAGCAAATGCAAATAAGTGGCATTGTACAGTGACACCCTCAACGCAGCTCAGCACATATCAAATGAGTTGTTATGGATATTCAATTATTCATAAGTGATTATCTATACCTTCCAGCCATTCATTTTCTGAACTTTGCTAATTAGGTCTTTGTGATCAAAAGAGCTGTCTGATAGAATTCAATGCCTACTTGAAATCTCATTTTGCTAATCATCATTTCATATCATTGTTATGGTGTTGTGTGCAGCGTCAGGAATTGAAGGAAATTGCCCTGGCCAGTAAGTTGAGTATTTCTTTAAAATCGTTCAGACACTCCTTGGTGCTTGTTTCCAATTACATGTGTGGGGTATGGGAAGGCAGCGGGGGCTCAATTTCATGGATACTCCTTGAGACAGTTCCAAAATTAGTTTCAGCTGTTAGGACGTGATGTGATACGGCCCAAGTACTTCAGAGGTTTTTTCCCAAGATATCTTACCATATTTAGCTTTGACAGCAAATGCATGTAAAGGCAAGGGTAATTAGGGGAAGTTCACCCTACTATGAAAAATTCACAACCCGTAGCGAAAAATGCACTGATTCCAATGGTGAAAGTCCCAGGTTGATTGGAGCAGTCGCTCCCGAGTTATACACGCTTGAAGTTTGCACTAAATTTGGTGACATGATGACGTCATTAACTTGCCCAGACCAGGCCGAATTTATGACGTCAGAGAGATAGACTTTGTATGGGAGTAAATGGGGAAATTTCAGTATTTCGGCCCTCCAGTGTCCCAAACAGGGAAAAAGGGACAGATAGCACTTTTTCCTCTTTGTTTGTCCTTCGTGTGAAAAGGAAGCTCATGATCAACAACAATGAACACAATCCTGAACTAGTTTTTGTACAACACTCTTCAGGAGGTGATGTTGTACTGCTGAGAAATATGCAAGTAACTAATCGTATGTGAACAAATGAACCAAACAAAGTGAGACCTAAAACTGTATCAAGCTTGCACTCCGATAATGACGGATAACTCTTAGGAGTAAGGAATGAAAGATGCATCGCAGTCCACTTCTCGGACCATTACCATCGGATTCTGGGCCCTGAGGACTACAGGTTCTGCAAAGTCCATTGTCATCCGTGCTTCTTTGAGCATGAGAACGAGATGACATTTCGAATGAAATCTTCCATCCAAATGCCTATCCAGTAGGGTGCACTCCTCCCAATTTGGTGGAGGTGCACAAATTCAATTGGGGCATAGGAGGATCGGAGTGTCGAAGCTTCCTCGGACCAACACCATTTGGCACAGGGCGCAGAACCCTGCAAGTGATGACACTTGGATTTTAGACCAGACTTCCCCTTAAGGCATTGTGACGTGAGATAAGAAAACGTGCGTGTTGCTTCCTGCATGGGAGCTCGCGCTTTTCCTGCCGACTTGACGTGACACTTGACTGGTTGACGACTGCCAACTGGAGCACATGAGAAGTCCATCGACCCTATTATTGGCTTAGCAAACCTGGAAGAAAGTACCGTTCCCTGCAAACTTCCATGGAAGACTGAAAATTGGCTTCTCAAACATGAACATGCCCCTCATATGATGGAATTTCATTAGCCTACTCAAGCTCAACTGATGAGGGGTGAATTCCCGGAAACACTGTTTATTGAGCAGGGAGTGGTGCTTTCATGAGGGTTTGCCTAGCTAGTGGAAGGTTCAACGTGCTAGTCATGTTCTGGGGACAGCAGTCACGAGTCAGTCAAGTGTCCAGCTGCTGATGTGAGCTCCATGAAGGAACATCCAAGTTAGTCAGAGAGTTGTCAGAGATCCTGTGAGCAAACATTTGCCGAAGAGAAGAAGATTTGCTTATTCTTCCGAGGACCTGAGAAGGAAAGATCAAAACCCATGCAAAAGAGGAAACCCCAAGGGCCCCTTCTCCTACCCATGCTCCTGCCCATGCTCCAACAGTCCATTCATCCGAAAACCGGCACCCTAACCTTGTGATGTTCTGTGCAATTGAAAAGCTGGCATGCGAAACCCACTAAATCCATTTCATCACTTTCTGGATAATGGCCAAAAAATGGATTCATTTATGTGCAGTCTGTATCTAAAGCCATATTTGGGTTCCAGTTTGGAAATGGTTCTAGTCAGATTTTGAATGTGAAATTTTTGTCTGGTGGTGCCCCTAGACCATTTGATTACACTGAGCTGAGATTCTGATTCTCTCAAATTTGACGCTTATCGGTTTTGCATCTATAATGGACTTTAGGGTGCTGGGTGTCCATTTCTGTCGTTGAGCACTGTACTGTACGACAAACATGCACCCGTACTGCCATAGAGCAGTCATGTACAGCATGGCCGGAATGTTCAATCCGTTTCAGGAATACAGAAACTTGGGAATTTAGTTATAGTATAACCTTCGGATGAACGGACGTTTTCGTAATCTTTTCCGGCTGGGTTCTATTATTGTTGCCTCAAACTTTGATTTCCAAAATTTTTCCAATGTACTAGTAATGAGATTGCGTTATTGTCTACCTTTGTTATTCCCATCAAACTTACAGGCCTCGCCCGAGCTCAGCTCTATGAGTATCTGCAAGCCCAACTCCAAGCAAGAAAGATCGAAAAATGTGTTGTGGGTGGTGTCTCTGGATCGTCGGGCAAGCGGCGGGGAAGAAAGAAAGGTGGCGGCGCCAGAGGAGGTGGTGGAGGGACGTATGCGCTCGGGCAGAGCGAGGCGTGGACCATGTACTTAGTGAACCGCGACGGCATAGGTCGGCCGGTGCCCGTTCCGGCTTCGCTTGCACTGGGCCGGCAAGCGAAGCTCCTGTGAGCACTACAAACGCTGATGTTTGTAATGTGCTCATCACCATGACAGTATACCGAAGGTCCCTTGAACTAGTGTTCCGCTCTGCGAACACGCTTCACACCAGTATGACTGTAAGTAATACTCGGGTACAGTTGATCGAAGAAAACAGAAAACGAGAAAAAAAGAATATCCTTGATTCAAGAAAAACAGAAAACGTGAAAAAGAAGATCCTTGATTGACGAAAAACAGAAAACGTGAAAAAAAGAATATCCTTCATCATGGCCACAGACTTGAGTAATCAGAGCCACACGGAGAGAGAGAGAGAAGCTCTTGTAAAAGACTGCCCATGGCGATGGGACATTTCTTCCGAGATTTCCAGTGTCCTTTACCCGTTGGCGCTGGTAATGGCATGCGGTATGTCATGCATGCAACGCGCCTATGATGGGCTCCACTGCACCATAGACACTGGTGTAGGCGCATATTCAACATACTGAACTTGCCTCGGACAATTTAAATGTGATCTCAGCAGACTGGATGGGCCTCAGTCGATCAAAAATAATTTTGTGTAAGTTTTTTTTGCCTAACGCATATCCTGACTTCATGGCTGTCTTATTGTGTCCCCATACATTTCTTTCTATGATGCCGCAACATTGCCGTGGCATCTGAACAACCATTCTATGATGCCGCAACGTTGCCCTGGCATCTGAACAACCATTTCCGTTTAAAAAAATATTGTAATTCATGCATGATGCTTTTTGTTGGCTCTTCTGCCTGGATTTCATTGACAAATACCATGGATCCTTCCATGAGTGACATGCAAACTTTAGTACCTATTATTATGCATGTTTTAGAACCCGTCGATGGTTTCAGTCTTACAGACAACCGTTGTATTCTTTTTATAAAGTTTTTTTCTTCTAGGAATGAGCCGCCACGCGGCTGTCCACGGCGGATGGTTTCCGTCAGCTTCGAATGCTTTGTACTGTACATGTATGGCTGTACCATCTCCACCGGGAAGGTGCGTAGCCTCTCGGGGGCTTCTTTTTTCTTTATTTTTTATTATCTCTCAATGCCGCTTGCCTTGCATGTCTATCATTAACTGCTGTTTGTTGGTGCAGTATGCTCTTTGCCTGCTGTGCATAAGCCGTATTAAACTTGTCGAATGTGGACGAACAGCAGCCTGTCGTTGCCTCTGTTCATTGCCAGCATAATACTTCAGAAGTGTGTTGTCTTTCAATATACTCTACATTCGCCTGTGTGCTACTCTGCATCATATTTCACTTGCTCAAATAGTACTCAGATAGCGCTCGAATAGTGCTCGAATAGCGCTCGAATAGTGCTCAGTGTATTCCATCCATTGCATCGACCACTGGAATGTTTTACTGCTATGTTTTCTATAGTGTCGCTTACACGTCTTGTTCTTTGGCACCCCCGGCCGGGGTATGCCGGCCTTAGAGCTATGGACTTTTGATGATCACGATGATGATGGTGATAACCTACCGGTGTTGATACTTGTTATATCATGTGACCATTGTCATGTCATGTGACCATTGTCATGTCATGTGACCATTGTCATGTCACGTGACCATTGTCATCAGTACAACCAGCATGGCAACTCGCAGGAATAGACGACTCAGAATGTGCAGTGCCTGTGCGTGCATGTAAGAGTGGGTCATGCTGGCGGGACTATGGCAGGCATGACGATTTGAGCATGCATGTCAGATTGGATTACACTGGCGCTACTGCATGATATGTATGTAAGCCTCTATAGCGATATATTCTGGAATCCCACCACTACAACTGTTGTAGAGTGCAAGGTCCTTGACCAGACCTGGAATACAGGGGGGAGGGGGGCATGCTAGTAGGGTAATACCCCTACAACTGTTGTAAGGGTCCAAGGTCCGTGACCAGACCTGGAATACAGGGGGGGGGGGGGGGGGGGGGCATGCTAGTAGGGTAATCCTTTTTTACAAGTGTCACGCCCTTCCGGCCCCGAGGAAAGGCAGAGAAATAGAACGTGGCAGACTACCAGGGTGCATGTATATTTTCTCCAAACGCATTGGACACGAATCCATCCCGTGGCCTACATTGTATAATTCGAGAGGAATGGCGTCACCTGCACGCTTTAATTGTGCCAAAGTAATTTGAAAGGTGTTCCGGGAAGCTGATTCGCATGATCTGTTGGAGGGCAATACTACTGTCGCGCACATGGAAATCCAGTCGAATGACCGGGGCCGGCTCCCTGGCCCCTCCGCGCGTACATGTACAGAACGTTGAATGCAGTGCACAATCATGTTGATCCGATACCACCAGCGCGCTGCAGCGCACACATGTAGATGGATGTGTTTACCGCTTCACACGGCTGCATGGCCCGTGCCTTGGGGCCGCTAGTTGTGCGACCGGATTTCCATGTCCACGACAGTACCAGGTAGTGCCCATAGTAACAGTTTTGGAATTGGCACTTTTAAAACTACTTATACAGCATTAGTAGTCATGACAACTAACAGGGTGCTCGGTAGACCGAGGTGTCCGTGATTTCCAGGTCCGGATAAGAGAGATATGGCTCGCCTTTTCTGCAGCTCACACGGTTAGAACAATTTCAATGAGAATAGGGTCGACGGGGAACAGGAAGCGCGGAACAAAACTGCCAAAAGATCACAAGATCGAAAGATGATGAGGATAGGGGGGGGGGGGGGGGGGGCTAGGAGTGCATGGACCAGTCACCTGTACATGTAATTTGAACCACGCGGCCTCGCAGGGAGTGTACAGTCAACTTTGCGTATAACGACACTCAGCGGGACATCAGAAAAGTGTCGTTATTCGCGAAGTGCGAAGTGTCCTTATACCCGATGTTTCATTATACAGTAAAACCTGTGACTACCGACCACCCCTTGGTGCCAGCAAAAGCGGTCTTTAGTAGCAGGTGGTCTTTAGTTAGAGGTTTGCACCACGTGACCATATGTGGATCCCATTATATGATATGTATGTCAAAATGCAGCTAATACAATTCCCCAGGACTTGCGCAATGTCAGAAAGACGGAGAGATGGAGAGAGAGAGACAGACACAGAGAGAGAGAGAGAGAGAGAGAGAGAGAGAGAGAGAGAGAGAGAGAGAGAGAGAGAGAGAGAGAGAGAGAGAGAGAGAGAGAGAGAGAGAGAGAAGATTAATTTTTTGCAGACTTCAAATTCAGCTGCTGCTTCTGAAGCCAGGAGTCAAACGTTCCCTGGGGGAACGGTTTCGTTTCGCGCTGGGCTTCAAATTTGTTCATGCGATCAATCATACCGACTGTCCTTGTTGTGACTTCTCGATTGCTTGAACGCGATCCTTCAGCATCAGGACCTTGTGGTGCTGCTTTGTTTCTGGATTCCTTGATGCCATCGTCGATCCGTCTGTATGACTGGGGTGACAGAGCCGCCCAGTCTTCGTTTCTCCTCCGAGTAGTAACATCGATCAGAGAGCGCTTTCGATGTGCTCTCCAAGACGTTTCCTATCATGTTTTTTCTTGACAGCGCTTGAAATTTTGACAGGTGCAGTGCAGTCCACACCGACTCCACAGCCCAAATTACCTGCATTCATTTGTCAGCTGTAGTATCGAAAGATTTTTTTCAGGACCATGGAAAATCAGTAAAATTTCAAGAAGGAGCTTCGAGCAACATTTGATTTCGGCGGTCGCTGGTCGCGTTCAGAAGGTGGTCGCTAGTCACAGTGCATTTTGAATGTGAGACCTTCCGTGCCTGGCGAAGTGGCCGGTAGTACCAGGCTGGTCGCTAGTGACGGTGGTCTTTAGTTACAGGTTTTACTGTAATGTATAACAGTTAGATGGAACTTTGCTCTGGGCATGGAAATCCTGTCGTTATTCGCGAATTGTCGTTATATCCGCAGTCGTTACTAGCGAAGTTGACTGTAGCAAGATGCGGTGTCTGTACCAACCAGCGGTGGTTCAACACACTGTAAACAATAAGACATATTGTATACCCTGGCATGCAAGGCAAAAGTAGTAAAACTGCACTGGTAGTTTACTACGTCAGGGTTAGGCTTTCCCCAAATCGGCCGGCCGAATAATCCGCAGAGCTGTATTTCCAATATCTCACCAATTTTGAAGCCAATATGCCAACAATTCTTTTAGCCGATTTTCCAATATAATCCAATTTTGCAGCCGATTTTCGAACAATCAGCTGATTTTGCAGCCGAGTCTGGTGTATTTTTGAGCCGAGCGAAAAGCCGAATAGGCGAAAAACGGGCCGATTTGGGGAAAGCCTAGCAAGGGTCTGTATGACTCCGTGTGAGCCACCGCGCTGACGTGAATAATTATGGTGACCTGAGCTCCGGCTTCCTTTAGTCCATTCATCAAAGCTGATCTCTAGTCTGATTCTGGTGAGCTCACGTACTAAATACGGGAACTTGATTTTGTTGATTCTGTTGCTTTTATAGCACACTTTGCAGTGCCGTGAAATTTGAAATAATAATGAGTAAAAAAGGCACCTCAACTGGGGTTTGAACTCCACAGTCATACTGTGCAGTGCTGTTGCAAGTGGAGTGAAACGGCCTGGGCTTGCATGGTTTATGGTACATGCCGTTTTCCTCAATCCCGTGCTTTTGGGCCAAAACCTGGTCGAAACTTCCTATTCGTGCTTTTTTGAGAGATATACAATCATATACATGTACTTCGGAAAATCTGATACCGGTTGTTATTACTGTCGTTAGAAGAAGAGTCGGCGTGGAGAAAGCAATTAATTTTTATAAGTGCAATGAAGAAAATGAGAGATGCAGCCATGCAGATATAATGTTCTTTTCGTATCATGTGACCTTACAGTCAGTTCTGGCACTGTTCACTGAAGAGCGGAACGCGAAAAATCGATTTTGAATGATAAAATTCTTTAAAAAAAATCTTAAACTCGTTGTTGTCTGGCCATGTCTGCATCTCTCATTTTCTTTATTGCACTCATAAAATTGTTGGAAGAGGAAGAGCATTCCATAGGGGATTGCAAAAAAATCTGATAAACTCAAACGGTTCGACCCATTTTATACGTATATGGCAAGAAATATCATCATTCTTTTTATCAAGAGTTCGAGAGCACATTGTACACGTAGCCAGGACCATGGGTCAGCATTGGCAGATAATGCTCGAAAAAGGTGGCAGATTCTGCTCGAAAAGCAGTGAAATTGGCAGAACCATACAAACCTTAAGGGGGCAGCCTACCCATAAATTTCATATGGCATTCAATTGACCGTAACTTTGGTGTTTCTCAGTGGATTTGAGTGAAATTTTGACCACACACTCCTGCCACTATGCTGGCCCTCAGGACATGATTTATAAGTTCTTGCGCCTCACTGACAGGCTTTCCAGGCCGGAAAAACTCAAATTTCCGGCATAGTGCTACGGTGTGCGAGCCACCCAGGAGCCAAACAAATGCATTTACATTTTTTCACATTTTCGTGCCCATTCTGTCCGTGCGCGGGACCCAAACCTAAAACAAGTCCAGAAGCAGCCATGGGTGGTGGGGTAGGGCCCCTCAACGTGGCCCTGGAATCTGTCACAACGGAACGAGTGGGCGTTCTCTCACGGACTCCCACAGACCCAAGTCAATTTTTGAATTTTTTTAGGTTTAGCACGTGCTACGAGGTCGTACCTTTGATACAACATCCAGTGCTGGGAGTCTGGGACCTCCACAGCAAGCCATTTCCACAGCGCTGCACACCAAATCCAGGACGCCCTCAGAAACCGGCAAAGACTGCCACTCACGTTTCACTACTGCCTAGTACTGAATCCTACCTGACTTCTTGACACGACTCAAACTTGCCAAAGTCACTAAATCAACGTCAACTACAATAATCAAGCCACATATCTGCAACGTCACGAGGGTGCTGCCAAAAGTCCTGCTGCACGGCGGCGGGCTTCGCCCGCCGCCGGCGCCGTGCAGCCCAATACGTGGTTTTTTAACGTGATTTTTGGACTTTTTTGGACTTGGGGCAAAATTCTGCACACTTTCGCGTGTTTCCATAATACAAGTTGCGCACGGTCTGCTCACATTCAAATACAGTGTAGCAGTGCGCTACGTAATTCTATACAAAAGTCTGGATTCGTGAATTTAGAACTAACTTCGAACGATTGAATCTGGTGTCATAACTAATGTTACTTTGTAGATTACAGAGAGGACAGAAACATAATTGTTCGGCTCACAACCAGAGAGAGAGAGAATGGAAGCAAGGCAAAAAGGCAAGGAGCGGCGAATTCTGCTCACCTGCTGAATACGGTGTACGGTACAACTATACCAAAAGGGAAGGCCAACGGCGCACTGGAATCTAGTTGTACACAGCTGTAGTACGCATGCAAATAAGGATAATACGGTGCGGAAGTGAACGGCGCATGCTGATACGGTAAAGCGGTCGTAATACATATAAGTGTGACCGCGAGACCGGAGAATTTCATGAAGCCAATAATTATGAGAATTTCATTGAAACCGAAGTAAATCAGGTCATGTGACCGAGAATCCGCTACATTACTCCCCTGCCAGTGGACAAGCCGGAGGCAGGAAACAATAACCTTGGAAAGGAGAGAAACGACAACCGCAACGTAGAAGAAGAAGCGTATAAAGGAAGAAAAA